CTCATGTGGGATCCAAACCTGCGGCCCTGCTGCTCAGAGCTCACACTCCCAAGCCAACTCTTAACCAACGAGCCACTCAGCCGGCCCCAATTTTTTCTTTTATGGATCTGTTTTTTGGTGTCAAGTTACCTTTTAGTCTTGAACCATGTACGAGTAAATATACTCATTTTGAAACATTTTTAATGAAAAAGAATAATAAATTAAAAATGTAAAATAGTAATATTAAAATACCTGCTATATGCTACTTCAAATCATCTTGCACACCAGCTTTGAAAAACACTGATCCATGCACACACAGTAGGTGTCCCCATGCATGGGGGTGGGAAGAAGGTTCCCAGTGGCTGTGCCCACCCATAATCCCCTGTCACTCTTTCCCTGCAGATCAGCATGTACCTGTTGTCTCGTGTCCTGTTTGCCCTGTGCCGCCTGGGCGTAGAGAAGGGCTACATTCCCAAACCCAAGTGGGACCCATTTCCATGGTTCTCTGCGCTGGTGTGGGGGCTGGTGCTGTGGCTCTTTGAGTACCACCGGCCCACACTGCAGCCCTCGCTGCAGTCCTCCATGACCTACCTGTACGAGGACAGCAATGTGTGGCACGACATCTCAGACTTCCTCATCTACAACAAGAGCAGCCCCTCAAAGTAGTGTAGTCCTGAGGGACTTATGGGTGCTTTTTCACCCGAGTCGGCTCCAGGCGGTATCCAGCTGTGACTCAAGATTGGCTCCACCAGTGAAACCTCCCAGAGGATCCTGCCTTCTCAAGATCATGGCGCTCAGACTCCATCTTTTATTATCCCAGGGTTCCATTTTCCGAAGCAAAAGCACCAATTTTCAAATCCCATTAGGTACTCTTGAATGGTGGAACAAATGGCCGAATCAGGTTGAGAAGCCTTGGGCATGGTTCTAGCTGTGCTGCTGACTTCTGTGACACCAGGGAAAGTCACCCGCTCTGGGCCTCAAGGGTCGTCGAGCTTAAAGGAGGGCCCTGAAAGTGGGTATGTTCTTCGACTGTTCTTATGTAATAGAAGGCTTCTTGCTGGTGGGAAGTGAATTTGCAAATAATGTTTTTACTAAATATTGGATTGTCGGAAAAGTCATGACGCATTTTTGCAACAAAAAACATAGAAAAAATATGTCATGACTTTTCTGAAAACCCAATACTAAGTTCCTTATCTCAGGTATTCTATTGGAGAAGCTCTAACGTTCCATGATCCAATAGAAACACAGTGAGAATCATATATGTAATTGAAATATTTCGGATATGGCCACATTAAAAAAAAAAATGGAAAGAGCCAGATGAGATTAACCTTAATTATTTATTTTAGCTCAGATTTCTAAAATATTATTATTTCAACATGTAATTAATATGAAAATTAACGAGATAGTTTACGTTCTTTTTTCTTGTACTAAATCATCAAAATCAAGTGTGTTGTACACTTA